GTTCTAACCTTGGCTACTCGGTTGATTTCCAAATCCAGTAGTCCGACTTTGGTCTCGGGATGTGAGGTATTCATAACGGCCCGGGTTTCCTTTCCTGTGTATACGACGAGCCCAATTGCTGTTCCTGCAGCAAGTACGGTGTTTGCCCATAAGAGGTTTTCGGCCGTAAGAGGTGTTACCTGAGTGTGTTGTTGCTCGAGGTCCGAGTCGGAGTGAAGGGTAAATGTTCCGATAAAAGTGTGAATGTCTTTGATTGGCGCGTCGGCTACAATCGTGGTTAGGTTTCTATCCTATGAGTATTCGGTGGCGACGCACCATATACCTCGGCCGATACATTGAGTAGTGACCAATCGTCTGACAGTGCTTGACAAGCAGGAACAGCCACCCGAAGCTTCCAATCCGTCTCTCCATCCAGCTGATCAGTTCGTACGAAGCAGGTACCAGAAGGGTCAGAGGTTCGCAAAAGCAGCATGTCCGCAGGTACACGCTGATTCTGAGTGAGCTGAACCAAGTCGCCGACCTTTAGCTGAGAAGATGGAGTAGCGCGAGTAGGAGGAAAGCCTGGTGTGCTAGGGGATGGTGGCGACGAAGAATCGGGCTCAAGAATCAGGTATCGCTGAGCGTTGGCCTCTCGATCTCTTCGGTTTCGGAGTACATCATCCCAAGCTTCCTTGCCCATCGTGACCGCAAGAACGAACACAAGAGGAGCCACATAGGTCGCGATAAATCCGATCTTGAGTGCAGGAATAAACTGCGAAAGGGCGACCAAGAGGAAATAGAGGTTAAAGAAAAACTTGAACTGGGCGTAGATGACGAGCGGTAAGAATGAGAAGACCGTGTACTTTTGATTTCGCACGACGTTGGCAGGGAATTTCGATTGAAATGAGGCTGCAAAACAATCAAGAAAGTGTAGCAGCTCATGAGAGTTGACCTACCCGGCGGCCGAAAAGGTATGGTTCTACTCTTGTCCTTGCCGGTCGAAGGGGGTTTGGGAGGCTCTTCCTGGTACAAGTTAGTCGTGAAAATAGATAAAACGATGTGCTTACCCTCAGCCTCGAGGGACCTTCCTCATGTTCGTCTGCGTCAGAGATTAACGCGACTTCATCTTCCGGAACATCCTGTTCTCGTCGTTTTCCTTTTGACTTTCGGGACATGGGCATTCGGGAGCCTCTTGGATAAGGATCGAGAGCAATCTCTCGGTCTCCTGAGCTCATAACTCGCGGATAAGGAGGTGGCTATGCACGTGACTGATTGCACGTGGATCAGTCAACAGCGCTTAAGTTCGCGACTTTGAAATCCGAGCGAATTGGGGCGTTTTTGGTGCCTGCGGTGGCAACAAAAGCTTGTGGATATCAGCGAGCTTTCTCTCGTACTTGTCTGTAGATTCGTACGAGGGGCATGTGTGGATAAACAGGGATGTACATCCGAGCAGGTGCTACTGCGCTAGCCGCCATGTGACAACCATGGATCCCGTTCCAATTGTCCGCGGGGCTCTCCAATAGAAGCAGCACGCTCCGCGCCGCCGACCTTGCCTTCGTTGAGCACTCACTGTATGCAAGCTCTAGTCTAGTGGTCTTGAACATCTCAATACTACTCTTGAGGCTCAAGTTGGACTCGCGCAAGCTGACACACAGCATATATAACCACAACGTTGGTTTCAGGTGGAGGCCCCACACAAGGTTCCCAAACTCAGCCACTGGATGAAAATAACAAGAACATATTGACATAGGCGAACAGTTATTTCGGGTAGCCGAACAAATGGAAGACAAGCTATTCTAAAGGTCACAATGCTCTCGCCACCTGTCTGCCTAGAGCACAACCGACATTCAGACTATCCTCTACGCTCAGCTCCTGACCAGGCTGCGCAAAAGCTGCTGTATACAGACTAAATTCATCTAAGGTGCAGTGCAAAGTTGTGTAGTAAATGAGTTGTCGTTGATGTGTGTTAAAATCGGCAAGTTCTGTCACGAGCGACAAGAATCACGATTGTATTGCGACCAACGCTCCGATGTGCGCTAGAATCGGGATCTAGCAAACCCGTCACATACCGCTTTGGTGGGTTCAAAGTCCATTAATATATTACCCGGAAACCCGAACCGCAAGCTGATTGTTCCGCGCTCGGCTCGTAAACTTAGACACCACGAGTAAATGGAACACAACTGTAACCCATATATATGCGCAGCAATACTAGTCAAATAGATTTAGCTGCTCGCCTGTGGTATCTTAGCTAAAATTTCTCACTGTCTGCGGACTTTTAGATACGGAAACGGCGCTGTTGTGCGCGAGGCCGTTCAAAAGTTCGTCCTACGATTACCATCGACTAAGCATACAATTCCGAGTATATTTCAAGAACATGACATTATTCAAAGCTCAGGAGTCCATAGTGAAGTATTTTCCAAATTATCTTACTGTATCAGAAGGTGCTATGTGTTGCAAGAGTCGCACGGGGCTTGTGGGGGGGGGGGGGGGGTTGAATCGGGTTGGCTCAGAGGTATAAGCGCCAGATCCGTGGTCTGCAGATTTTTGCGTCTCATTTTTGGGGGGGGGGGGAGTAACCTTGCAGAAACAAGGTGATTGAGTTATTAGACACAGGTGTTTTAGGCTGCTCCCTGCTCAACTATGGACAGCTGATTGACTTGTATCTAATGAGCAGGTGAAGTGGTAAGTGCTTAATGTAGGTACACGAGAATGATTGGATTGTATGCGCATATATGGACCGTATATACTCCATGAGAAGCTATTTCCAGCACCACTACTCAAGCTATTATGCAGTTACTTCTGCGGACTATAGCAGGGATCTACCTGAGCTCAGTATATGCACTGAAGTATGCGCACTTCTTCAAACTCTGGGAGCAAACTTTGGGAGCACAAAACCCCCAACACCCAACCATGTAGGTGTTTTGACCCAACTCACAAGACAAATACTGAAGTTCTGGGCTTCAAGAGGTGCCAGCTGTAGCTCTACTATACTCTTACATTTAATGTGATTTTTTATAATAACTTCAACAAGGGTTTAAAATCTTCTAGAATCGGGATTTCAGTAATCTGAAGCGTTCTCGGCCAGGAGAGCAGCGATTTGAACTCTGGAAAGTGTCCAAAAAGTATGGCCCGAACCCAGGATTGAACTGGGGACCTCGCCCAAAGTTCAAGCCTGCTTTGAAATTGGCTTGTTCCCTAAGGGCGAATCATACCACTAGACCATCCGGGCTTGATTATCGTCTTGCTTGTTGTTATATGATCAGCAAGCTATCCCGATGCCCGTTTGTACAGTTAGCTCAGTCTACTGCTGACGAAACCAACAAATAGCTGGCTAATGTGGCTGTCGCGCGCAAGCCATATAAGTATCCTAGTCTTTGTGCTCAACCTTAATCAGTTCGACCGGAGTGATGTCCGGCCAATGAAGTCTGTTGTAAGATATATAGTTTAACCTGTTACGCAGTTACAAGCCAACCAGAATACCTTCATATGATTTGTGAGACGCGAAACGTTAATAGGTCTAGTTTTAAGCTCCGGAAGCTGCTACATTCGTAAACCTCTCACGCGGAGGCCATTATACCACACACACATGAACTGAACCGAAGTAGTCCCAGCAGGGATGCTATATTCCTGCGAAATCTAAGCTATGTGTAACGATGGTTGTTCCATTCCTCACACCATCTTCAATGATGTCTTGAGACCACTATCAGGCCCTGGAATTTTGAGCGGTAGTAGTCAATGTTTGAGGACTCGAGGTGTTCTGAATTATATAGACGTGTTAGACAAAACTAAGACGCATATAGCCTACAAGAACAACGTGAAGACATAAAGAAGCTGCTGACCACTCTGGTTCTGCCGTGATATCCATTTTATTCTTATGTGAGCTGCTGATTAGCTTCTCATCGCCCTTGTGCTTATTCATAGACAGAGCCTCGAGGCTGCTTGAGCTAGACTCAGGCATCTACAACTTGTCGGCTACTCAACAGCTCGTAGCCTAGTTATTGTGCATATAGCCAAGGGTCCAAGTAGCTATGAGTCGACGCCCTTTCATGAAGATAAAAGCCAGACATTCGCAGTACAAATAAATGTCCAAAAATGCTGAAAGATACTGGAACGTCCAATTGACATACTTCGCACTCGCAACCAGCTGGATCGTTTTTGGGAGTCACGATAACGTATTTTAAAGTACATTAAATCCAAGTCGAGCTTGTGGTACACCGAAAATGGATTCCCATTTTACGAACCCTGCTTGAGTTAGGCTGAAGCGCCAAAGCTAACAGGAAGCAACGTTACATAACATAGACCCTTCTTAAAATTGGCATTTGGCGAGCCCGTCGAAATCTTCTGCTTTTCCACCGCAAGTTCGAGTATGACCTACGTGGCCGCCATTCGAACACTATGTAGAAACTGCCGCGTACTTGATGCTCATACATCGAAATTTATGTTCACTGCTCGGTGTTTCAAATGTCCAAAGACTAATATTGGCTCGGTGGCCAGCAATCTTTGTACAAGGCGCGCGGGTTGACTCCCCTAGGCGCTATAATCTAATATACAACACAGAATGAACGCATCAATGGCCGTTCAACGAGGTACGGAGCATAAAATAGCCGCCACGCAGGATGTAAGCATTCCGTCGCCTCTTCAGAACCTTTAGTGACTTCTTTCAAAAGGGCTATGAGCTACCCCAATACACGGACGAACAACTCCGAGCACTCTATGACGATCTTTTTACTTCGTACTTCCCGTTGCAACCCTTGTCTACCCCAGCAGACTCTCCTAGTGATACTCTGCGTGAATTACAGGACCGATTCAATATAGAATACGAGACCGAACGTACCTACAAGCTGGTGATCGATCATCTGGAACAAGCTTTGTCATTCATCGCTGTTGACAAGAATGATCTCCCGAAACTTGGACTTATATTGGATTACGAGTGGGAAGCAATCATCAAAGCTACCGTATGTACATTGGAGCCGACTTACTACAGTGGTTGACGCGCATGTAGCTCGATGCCGGGGACGTAGAATACGGGCTTAGAGCGCTGGATCTCATGATCGTGCGTAAAGGCATGATTTTATTGCTCAAAAAATTATAACCCTCTAGTAGAAATACGGTACAAGATTGTTGGAAAACCTGGACCTGCGCCTTCTGGAGCATGAATCTTTACTGAATGTCAATAAGTTTACACTTTTTAGCGATAAGCTGACAGAACGTGAGTTTCCCTCATTGTTATTTCACAAAGCACTTATTTTGGTTGAAGTTGGATACCCTCTTACTCCGGAGCGTATATCACGACTGATCTATGTTTATCTACACTTGAGAAAGAAGCAACCCTTTGAGCACATCAAAGACATCCAGGATCTCATTCACAAATTCGAGGCGCAAGGAGTCCTACCGTCTGAGGCTGGTTATGCGCACGTTATCAAGGCCTATCTGGACTTATCTCGGGAGTCTAACTTGCTGTCTGGCGCCAACCCGTCTGCCGCTATCGCAGCCGTTCATGACTTGTTTGCGCATATGCGCTACGTTGCATATCCAACCCCGTCTCTCAAGACCTACAGTCTTGTGATCTTAGCTTGCTCTCGGGGACGTCAGGTTAACCCTCTTCGGGCGCTTGACCTATTGAAAGAAGTTCGAGACGGACTCATCGAAGGAAAACCCCAATTCCTGCAGCCCAAGCTAGACTCTCGGTCTCTCATTGATTGTTACAACGGCGCCATCCGGGCTTGTGCACGCGCTGGGTCGAGGTTTGCTGGTGACGCATTTAGGCTCGCCAAGGAGCTTGTACAGCGTGACGGAATTCCCGTCGCAGGCGCAATGATTGATAAGATTGGTCCCGATAGGATCACAATGGCGGCGCTGATGCATTCTGCCAAGAGAGGAGGAGATCTAGGGCGAGCGCGTTGGATTCTAACAGAAGTTATGAGAGCGCAGAGCCATGCTTTACAACACGTAGAACTCCCAGGAGAATCCGAGACTATCTTGGACGAAGAGATCATGGTGTGCGCGTTCCAGACGTATTCAGCATTTCGACCTCCGTTCAAGAGATGGCAACTGGAACAGGAAACCAAAACCGAGGGACAAGAGGCGGCACCTGGCACCGACTCTGAATCTCTGGCTCGTTCAATTCAATCTCCTCCCCTTATCCCTCAATCAGCCCCCGAATTATTATTCGAAGCGGATGCCCTTTTTTCGCGTATAGCGGCAAAACGACGCGGAAGCTCGGAACCGGTATTCACTCATGTCCCTATTAGTGCACGAATTCTCAATGCCTATATCGGCGTATATCTCTCCCATGCGCCGCTTCAACA